TGATGATGATGATGATGATGATGATGATGATGATGATGATGATGATGATGATGATGATGATGATGATGATGATGATGATGATGATGATGATGATGATGATGATGATGATGATGATGATGATGATGATGATGATGATGATGATGATGATGATGATGATGATGATGATGATGATGATGATGATGATGATGATGATGATGTGATTGATGATGATGATGATATGATGATGATGATGAGATGATGATGATGATGATGATGATGATGATGATGATGATGATGATGATTATGATGATGATGATGATGATGATGATGATGATGATGATGATGATGATGATGATGATGATGATTTGCTGGTGGTGGTGGTGGTGGTGGTGGTGGTGGTCGTGGTGGTGGTGGTGGTGATGAGGAGGAAGATGAGGAGGAAGGAGGACGAGATGGAGGAGGAGGTGGAGGAGGAGGTCTTCCTGGCTCTTCTGCTCTGCTTCTCTCCGCGAGGCATCCCTCCTTCGCGAGACCCCGCGGACGCCCACTGCCGGCCCGGAGCCCGCTGGGCAGGGGCGGGCCGCGGCCTTGTTGGCCACGCTCCTCAACTGCGTCTGGCTGGAGCCGCACGCGGCGCTGCTGCCTCGGCCGCCCACGTCCCATGGGAGAGAAGTCTACTTTACGCTACTGCCATTCGGAGGGGGAAGGAGGAGGAGGAGGAGGAGGAGCAGGAAAAGGAGGAGGAGGATGAGGAGGAGGAGGAGGAGGAGGAGGCGGAGGAGGAGGAGGAGGAGGGAGGAGGAAGAGGAGGAGGGGGAGGAGGGGCAGGGGGAGGAGGAGGAGGATGACGAGGAGGAGGAGGAGGAGGACAAGGAGGAGGACGAGGAGGAGGAGGAGGAGGAGGAGGAGGAGGAGGAGGAGGAGGAGGAGGAGGAGGAGGAGCAGGAGCGGGAGGAGCAGGAGGAACAGGAGGAGCAGGAGGAGGATGAGCAGGAAGAGGAGGAGGAGGGGAAAGGAGGAGGAGGATGAGGACCAGTGTGAACCAAAGAGTCATCAACGATGTTGGAATCAACCCTCCCTCCAAGCCCCCTCTCATAGGCCCCTACAACGGTTCATTTCCATTGAGGGAACTGCCTCGTTGGAAGACACCCTTAAAGACCCTGAAGCATGCCAAAACATTGTTCTCAGGATTTCAACGCCACGGATCAACCTGACTGCTGCTTTTGACGATCGTGAATCGTGCCAGAACGCCACTTTTGGGACTTCAACACCGCGAATCAACATAACAGTTGTTCCCGCATGTTCCTGAATCTTTCCAACACACCGCTTCTGGTACGTTGATCATAGGAAATCAGTGGAATGCTTCAACAATTTATGAACGAATGTGCGCGGTGCTTAGGCGAGAGCCACGTTTTGAAAAGGAATCGCTTTCAATATGTGAGACTCTTGCGAACTTTTATAACGAATGTTAGCGGCGCTGAGGCGAGAGCCATATTTTGAAAAGTAACCGCCTTCAATCAGTGAAACTCTTTGCGAATTTGTAAAACGAATGTACGCGGCGCTGAGGCGAGAGCCACATGTTGAAACGGAACCGCCTTCAGTCCGTAAAACTCTTGATTTTTTAAACGACTGCGTGGCGCTGAGGCGATAGCCACATATTGAAAACAACCCGCCCTCAATACATGAAGCTCTTGCTAGTTTTTTAATGCGAATGTGCGCGGCGCTCAGGCGAGAGCCACATTTTGAAAACCACCCGCCCTCCATCTGTGAAACTGTTGCCGCTTGTTAAGCATCGTCCCGAAGGGCCGCCGCATGCCGACTTTGCCCCAGGGTTGGGCCCCATCGGCTGCGCCTCGCCCGGATCGCTTCCGGGTGGGCGCTGCCGTGGCCCTCGAGCGCAGCTCTCCCGAAAGTTCAGGTGCTGCCACCGGTCCTGCTGCTGCTGCTGCTGCTGCTGCTGCTGCCTTTGCTGCCTCTGCTGCTGCTGCTGCTGCTGCTGCCTCTGCTGCCCGTGGCTCCTCGAGGCCACCCGCTCTTTCCCGTGCTGCCTGGTCGAGGCAAATCGGTCGAGGCCGGTATCGTCATTCTTCGAGGGAAGCCGGTGCGGCGTTTTCCGCCCTCAGCGCTCCCGCTCCCGGCGCAAAGCCTGACCCAACGCCGCGGCCACGCCGCCGCTGCCGCTGCCGCTGCTGCTGCCGCTGCCAGTGCTGTAGCCGCTGCCGCTGGTCCCCGTCCTGCCTCTCCTGCCTTCTCAGGGGCAACGATAGGTGGGGATAGTCGCCCATCCATCGCCGATGTGCGCGATAGCCCCAACCTGCCCAGGAACGTGCGGATTCACGATCGGGGGCCTATCGCCGATCTATCGGCGATATATCGCCGATTCCATCTCGACGCGTCCCCCCCTATTTCAGTCCCCCCAATCGTTGCCCCTGACCTTCGCTCTAGGGAGCTCCTGCGGCTGCTGGGCGGCGTAGAGCTACCCGGCGAGGGAGCGGACGCGGCGAACGAGGTGCTCCCGCAGGACGGCCGCTCAATGGCTCCGCGCCCTTGCGTCCACGTCTAAGGGGTGGGTCGGCCTAACAGGCAGTAAGCAGGAACAGGCAGTGTTTTCTGCTGGGCTGAGGGAGGCATTGTTTTTTTAGTGCTCTGCTTCTTCCGCATTTGCAAGTCGGGGTCACAGCAAGTGGAGTTGACTGATGTTTCGCACGCGCGAGAATTTCGCATACATCCGAACTAGTTGCCTCTGGCGTCAGCGTGACAAAATATACGGAGATATCGAGAAGATCAGGATTGACGCGAAGGCGAGAGGGAAGTGGGAGGGAAAGAGGAGGAGGAGGAATAATGAGGCTGATGGGGATGTGCTTAGAGTGTGATGCCGAGGAATATGATGGCGAGGACATTCTGAATGAGGGCGAATGCCAAGCAATGTCAAGCAATGCCAAGAAACGCAAATCAAAGCAAATCAATGCAAAACAGTGCAAAACAATGCAAAGTAATGCGAAGCAGCAAACCAATGCAAAGCAATTCACAGCAATGCGAACCAATTTCAAAGGAACGTAAAACAATGCAAAGCAATTGCTGCTGGCTGCTGGCCGATAGGTAGCCGTGGACACCCATGCTGGACTAATCCCTGGACTAGACGCACGGCGCCGGACAAAGCGACGGACTCAGTCTTTTGACCAAGTCGGCGGACAAATGAATGTCGAGACAACCGTGCAGGACGAAGTTTGAGGGCCGCGCTACCTCCAGCATCGAGGTCGCTCACAGAGCCATGCGCTGAGGCCGCCAAAACGGTGCAGCTGCTCGATTCACTAGAGTGCCAGACTAGCCCGCTCACTGTTTTTTGCCCAAAAGGGTCATACTATAGCATGATTGGGAGATTTAGACAAAAGATGTCCATCCACACCTCAAAAAGTGTCCACACCCATGGCAGTAAGGCGATGCAGCATGATGACAACCACAACTGCGAAATGCCCTTGCTTCGAACCCCTCCCCGTAAAACCCAAAGTGGAAGTGTCCACATCCTGTCCCTGCTCTTTGGCCTACCGCCCAAACCCTTCAACTCTGACCTTGAAGGAGGGGGGGGGTATACATCTTGGTCCGACGTGCTTTGATAACTCAAGGTCTTGGCGAGACACGTGTGGACACTGTTAGTCCACCCACCGTGGTACTGGGCCTTGGGGAGGTGGACGTGCGTACGCCTCACGCGAAGGCTCAAGCAACGCTAGGAGGAGTGATAATAATATACAGTGCCGTTTTTAATAATGCTCCGCGTGCGGATCATGACGCAGGGATTTAGTATTAGAAACAACGATGAGTTCATGCATATATGTATTCATGAATTAATCCTTCATTTTAAATCCTATATTTTCAATTTTCAATCCTATGTATCAGAAGCTGCCCTGTAGTACCACCGAGTGCGAGAAGCGGAGAAGTGCAGAGCCTGGAGCACGGAGCCCACCCACCGCAGTGCGTGAGGCTTCCTGAGGCTTCCTGCCGCCCCCCCGACCACGCCGCTTGGCGACTCCGCGGGCCGGCCGCGGCCGCCCGCGCGCGCCCGCCGTCGCCTCTGGGGCTGACCTCCTCCTCGGCCTCCTCTTCCTCGTCCTCCTCCTCTCGTCCTCCTCCTCCTCATCCTCCTCCTCCTCCTCGTCCTCCTCCTCCTCCGCCTCCTCCTCCCTCCTCTTCCCTCCTCCTCCTCCTCCTCCTCCTCCTCCTCCAGGAAGCGGTAGAAAGCCTCTCAATCAAGGTGGCCAGACAGGCCTCGGAGCAAAATCAGCGAACACGCGTGCCACATTCATCGGTCAGCGCCTTCCCCTCCCCCCAATGTTCGAAGTCGGCGCCGGGTCTGGTGAGTTGCACCTCGACCGCAGTCTTTCCCGCGCTTGCCAACTTTGAGTTTGGGGGGGCGGGGGAAAGTCCACTAATTGTTTCCCCCTACTGGATGAGCCGAATGCAAAGCGTCGTGATCCAATACTCTCTCTGCCTGCCTGAAGGGCGGCCCTGCCAGGCACGCCCTGAGGTGCCCTTGGATCCTGCTCTGGAGGACTCGAGAGCTGCGCCGATGAACAACCCAATCCAGAGAACTGCATGCATTTCTGACGAACCTCTGTTCTGAATCGCGCAGCAATATTAGCACTTCTCTTCTGTAGGAACGCGCAGGGCACCCCAGGTTTCATCCTCGTCTGGTAGACCCTACAGGCCTCCATGCGCATCCCCCGCTTTGGAAAGCTCTGGGGCCTCATCGTAGAAAGCACCCGATTGGTAGGTAGTCTGTGATGCTCCCCTAAACCAGACCGCTCCACCATCATCTTAACGCTTGCTAGCAAGAGATCAACTCTGCGAGGTCCTCCAGATGCGGATGAGCCGCGCCGAATCTCCACAATATTCTGGAGCTTTCCAGATAACTATTCCTTTCGGAATGCAGTTCTGCAGCCCCCCTGCGGGCCCCTAGCCCTGACGACTTCGAGTGCCTCCCAGACGGGGCCTCACTCAGGAAGGCCCCGCAGCGCTTCGCCCTCCCCGCCACAGCATTCCAGACCCCCTCGCGCCGTGAAGACACCACGACGCGAGGTGATTCGCTATCTTCGGCCTCGGAGTGCCCCCTACCGGGGCCTCGGGACCGTCGAAAAACGATGCAGGATGAAAAACCGGTCCCAGGGAAGGGGTCCAGATCTGGGGATCAACGATGTGAAAAAATCACGACGTCGAGGGTCTGGGCTCCCGGCTCGCTTCGGACAGCCTTCGCCGTCGGCGTCGTTGCGGACGTGGTTTTGTTCGAGGCAGACGGCCCTCCTGCCCATCAGCGGCTGCTGTTGCTTTTGGACAACACGTGTTGCTGGGCCTCCTGCCCAGTTTTTTCCGCACGGTCGGACCGATGTATAAGATCGAGGACGGCTCGGGGAGGGTATCGTAATGTTTTTCGTGCTCGTTGAGTGCTCTTCTGCATCCTGTGGAAGGGTACCCTCGAATGCTCTTCAGTTTGTCCAGTGGAGGGTCTCGTGTTCTTGAAGGATGTTCTTGTGTCCTAGGCTAGGCCCTGACTGACGAGCAGGCCCGAGGGGTCCTGCGAATGGCCCGCTCATGAATACAGCCGGACCGAGGCATAAGATCGAGGTCGGCTCGGGGAGGGAACCCTAATGTTCCTCGTGTTACTTGAGTGTTCTTGTGCACCTTGGTGAGGGCACCCTTGGATGTCTTGTGCGCTTTGTAGATGAGGGCCGTCCACGGACCACCTCGCCGATCCATTCGCCAGGCCGACGCCGGACACAGGGATGGTCTCCTCCTCCTCCTCCTCCTCCTCCTCCTTATCAACCTCCTACTACTCCTACTCCTACTCCTATCCTTAGCCTTCTTAGAAAATACTCTTACTCCCTCGTCTGGCCAGCCGATAGCGGCCCCATCCGGGCTCTCCCATCCAGACTGATAAGAATGAATACAAAGTCTCCGTTGTTCCTCTCAACATTCCCTGTCTTGTCGTCGGCGATGCGAAATGCGTAGCAGTAGCGGGACGCGGCGCACATCGCGCGCGGACGTCTGGGGCAACCCCAATCGGGAGCGGCCATCCTACCTACCAGAAACTAATACAAAGTCGACATGTTTCTGCTCAGCGAGGACTTTCTTGTCGTCGGCTTTGCGAAATGAGTGGCAGGAATGGGGCGCGGTGCACATCGCGCTCGACAGGGCAAAATGTCGCTCCCGCTTCGGCGCCGCGCGCATGTTCTCTGAAAGTTGCACTCCCGCTAAGGTGCGGCGCACATTTTTCGCTCGCCAATTCGTCGAGTGCCTAGGGCCCCCTGGGGCCTCCCAGAGTCTCCTGGAACATCCTGGGGCTTCCCGGGGCTTCCCCAGGGCCTCGTGGATCCTCCTGGGGCCTCCTGAGGCATCTTGGGGGTTCCTGGGAGTCCCCGGGGCTTCCTGACACCTCCGAGGGCTTCCTGGAGCCTCCTGGAACCTCCTGGGGCTTCCTGGGCCCTCCTGAAGCCTCCTGGGGCTTCCTGGGGTTCGCTAGGGCTTCCTGCAACCTCCTAGGGCCTCCTGAGGCCTCCTGGGGCCTCCTGAGGCTTCCTGGGGCCTCCTCGGCTCGTGCTGAAATGTCAGCGCAGCCTTTGAGACGCGCCAGGAATTTCCCATCGGTAACCACCATCGCGGCTGCATCAGCTGCGGCAAACCACTTTGCCGATCTGACTTCGGTCCCGGGTTGCGCCGGCACTGTTTCTTATGCTGCCGGAGGGCGGGTGGGAAAGGGCATGCCATGCTTGACTCGCTCGAGCTGGCTAGCTTGACTCCTATCCTTATTCCTTATTAGAATATACTCCTACTCCCCCCTCAGGCCGGCCAATAGGGGCCGCATCCGGGTGGTCCCATCCTAACCTGTAAAAAACAATACAAAATCAACATTTTTCTTATTTTTTCCTCTCGACATGGACGTCCTGTCGTCCACGGCGATAATCCATTGCAAAAATACCACAAAGAGCACACGCGCGCGTTCATGTCAGAATCCTACCGAACACCGTGTGTTTGCAAGCATTTCAACATAAAAACATCAAAAACCCAATGCTTTTTCACAAAAATTGTACAAATTTCCCGCCCGGGCTCTCTTGCTGAAATCATAGGAAAACCATAGGAATCTTAAGAATTCGGTCAAATCCAGCGATTTCACGTCATCGCGCGGTGCACTCGCGATGCTCTGTCATGCACCCAGGCCGCGAATCCTGTGCAAAAAATACATAGAGGGGGCCAAAAAAGCCTGGCGGCTTTTTTGGCACCCTCCCTGTGCATTTATTTGTAAAAGGAATTCCCTGGAGAATTCCTTAGTAATCCATCACAAAGGCAATTCGTTTGTATTCTGCCACAAAAGAAAATCCTTTTGCATTCCGTTACAAAAGGATTCCATTTGTATTCCACTACAAAAAGAATTCCTTTGTATTCCGCCATAAAAGGAATTCCTTTGTATTCCGCTACAAAAGGAATTCCTTTGTATTCCGCAACAAAAGGAATTCCTTTGTATTCCGCCACAAA